GCGCTAAGGCGAGAACTCACTTTTGAAATCGTTGTGTGGTCCATGCTTGTAGCCACTGCGGGTTTCAAGCTTCGCGATCACAAATGGTGGGGGCGTCTCATACGAAACGTCCGGCCCGCCCTGCCGACACGTTTGGGGGAGGGGTGGCGCCAAGGATGAGCTATGTATAAGGAGGAGGGATCGGTGATGATGTTGCTAATAGTGGTGAGGAGGAGGAGATGGATGGTGTTGATGATGATGATGATGATGAAGAGGAGGAGGAGGAGGACCAGTGCAAACCCAAGATCCATCAACGATGTCGCAAGCAACCCTTCCCCAAAACTCCCTCTCCATAGGCCCCTCATAAGGGTAGATCTCCACTGCGGGAAGAGCCCCGTCGGAAGACAACCGTCTGAGAATCTTCAACGGTGCCAAAGCACCATTCCTGCGACTTCAACGCCGCGAGTCAGCGGTACTGTTGCGACCTGACGATCCTAAATCGTGCCAAAACACGACTTCTGGGACGCAAGCCATAATAATACCTAAAGTTGCTGTAAGTTGTAAAGACGAATGCGCGCAGCGCTAAGGCGAGAGCCACATTTTGAGATTGAGCAAAGAAGGCGCGCGGCGCTTAGGCGACGTCCATATGTTAGAAACCGCCCGCCCTCCATCCTTAACCTTCTGCATTTTTTAAGACGAATGTGCGCGATATTAAAGCGAGAGCCACATTTTGAAAACGATAAGTCTTTGGTCAGGATTCCTCCTCATTAAAGGAATTCTTCTCCAAGGCCCCATACTTTAAAACCAACGCCAAAAAGCCATTACCAAGCTAATCGTGTATAAATTGTAAAATGTAAGTGGTAACCAGGACCTCGCACTAAAGGATTCCCTTTCTCAGGGTCACAGATTGGAAGCACTTCGTTGATAAACCCGGTTCAAGGTGCCTTCCTTTTCGAAGGATTCCTTTTTGAAGTGCTGTCTACTATAGGGTGTCTCTTTTCTGATGGAATGTTTACTACAGATCATTATGAAGGGTTCCTTGCTAAAGGGAACCTTACCAATCATCCGCTGACAAAAGCATCATGTGCAGAATATATGTGAAAAGCAGGCTTGTATTCAGCATTCACTGTTAGAGGGGCCACTTTAAAATATCCCACTGTACAGGTATTCATACGACGGAGTCATTGCGAAAGGATCCTTCTTATTAAAAGCAATCGACTTGGGTGGGGTAGCGAAACATGACCCTTGCAGCATTATCTGCCCAGTTCCTGCCATCACTCGTGCGCGCCGCAGCAAATTGTTTCAGGTTCTGCACTCGGGTTTCTGCTATCGAACCGTCCGCTTACTTGCCAATTTTGCGCTTCGCCTTTGCGGGCACAAACGCCGCGGAGTTTCGGGCATCACCAGGCTTCGACCCGGAGGCTGCGCGGCAGTGCCGCGGCAGCCCGGGGACGTCGTGGAACGCCGGGCGCACGACGGGAACGGGAAGGCGCAGAGCATGGTCATCCTCGTAATCCAGCCCTTGGCCCCAAGAGGCGCCTGTTCGAGGCGGAGTGCGCGGCGAGCGACGAGTACTACTCGCGGTGGCTGTTCAAGAACGAGGGCAACCCGAAACCAGGGCTCTGGCGGAAGCCTGACGGCAAGGGGGGGGAATGAGAGAAGCACCACGGCTGGCGCCCAGTAGTTCCTTCAGACTGGCGGCGTCAACCGGAAGGCTGCCTGGCGGCATTTCGCGGCCGTGAGGTGGCTCAAGGCAAGGAGGCCGAGGCCCTCGCCAAGGCCGCCCTCAGGAAGGCAACGGAGGACGACGGGGAGGACGACCACGACAACGGCAAGAAGGACGACGAGAACAAGGTCAAGGGCCACTACGAGGACAAGGAGAAGGACGACTGCAAAGGGGCGCGGCCGGAGGCCTCAGCTGACCCCCCGCAAGCGCGGCAGGTCGGCGCCGACTTGGCCGCCCTGCGCGACGAGCTGGAGCATCCGGGCGGCGGGGACGAGGCCAGCGGCCGCGCGCGGGACCGCGGCCAGAGCCCGGGCCGCGCGCGCAGCTCTGGGCGCAAGCGGGGCCCGCCTTGCTGGCCGAGACTGAGCTTCGGGAGCCACGAGGGCGCCGCCAGCCGGCCGGAGCTGGAGCCGCCCGCGCCGCGCCCGACTGACCCCGGGGCGCGAGAGCGAAGTCGAGAGCAGGGACGAACGCCTGCGCAGCCGAGAGCCGCGGCCGGCGCGGCGAGGACCCGCGGCGCCCAGGGGGCGGGCGCGCCGGGGGCGAGCGCCAGGGCCACGCCCGCAGCTGCAGCAGGCGCAGCGGCCGGCGCCCCTCGAGGAGCGACCGCCGCCGCCGCAGCAGCTCGGGCGACCGCCAGCGGAGGCAGCGAGGGCGTTCGCGCAGCGACGACTCCTACCAGTCGGTTTTTCGTTCGCCGCGGTGGTGGACACTCCCGGCTGCTGCCCGTCGCCACGGCCCACGAGGGAGAGTTGGCGGCCCGGGCACTCCAGCGCATGGGGGATCATTCGGGGCGCGGCGGCGAGGCGCAGCATTCGGGCCCGTTGGACATCACAGCTTCCGCGAAGGGCTACTACGCCCAGCTCTTGCAGCCGACCTGCGTCAAGATCCGCAACGCCAGGGAGATGTTGACGGTGGCCACGCGCCTCGATCACCTCGCCTTCGGGAGGCGCCGGGAGGCCGCGGACGCCTTGGCCCAGGGGCTGGGGTCGCTTGAGCTCGCGCACAAGACCCGCCCCTGGGAGAAGGCGCAGCGCGCGGAGCTGATCGAGCCCCTCGATTCGGCGATCGCGGACGAGGAGATGGAGCTCGCGGCGGTCGAGGAAGCGAAGCTCCAGTGCAGGCTCTTCTTGAAACCCTCACATCTTGCCGTTGCAATTTAATTGCAACGGCCGTTTTGAAGTGATTTTTGGGTTATGTTGCAATTTCTGGTTCGCAGTTCCCAGTGTTGCAATTTTTGTCAGGATGTTGCAATTTTCGTCAGGATGTTGCAATTTCGTCAGCATGTTGTAATTTTGTCAGGATGGCTCAATTTCCTGATGTTCCCTGACCGACACCAAAAACAGTACAGACATGCATATGTGCGACACACCCATTTAGCTATACCTAATTATGTACACACAATTTAGGTTCGCGCGCGTGTATGCAAGAACGTCGCCAATCATTGTGCATGTATGAATGTATGTATGTATGTATGTATGTATATGAATGTATGTATGTTTGTATGAATGTATGTATGTATGCATGTGTATACATATATATAAATCTGTGTGTATGCCCAGTACTGGAGAGGGCAGGGCCAGGTTGCGGAGCAACCATTTTCACAGGGCCCAGGGACCCTCGAATGCATCGATCTGGGTCAAAAAATGACGCAGGATCCAGGACTCCAACCGTGATTCGCCGCGGGCTCAGGGACCCTCAAAAATATCGATCTGGGTCGAAAAATGACGCAGGATCCGGGGCCCGCGACTCGCCGCGCGCAGCGTGCGGCTCGAGGGTGCCAGCCCGCGCGCGCCAGGCGCGCGACGCAGGCGGGCGGATGAGGGGAGGTTCCTCCTCCCTCCTCCTCCTCCTCCTCCTCCGCCTCCTCCACCTCCTCCTCCTCCTCCTCCTCCTCCTCCTCCTCCTCCTCCTCGGGGGGATGCATCGCGAATGCCTTCCCCTTTTCTCGGTCCTCCTCGTCCTCATCGTCTTCCTATTCCTCGTGTTCCTCCTTTTCCTCCTCCTCCTCCTCCTTCTCCTCGTCCCCCTCCTCCCACCCGTCGTGGTCTATAGCCCGACCTCGGGTCCTCCCACCCTCTTCCCGCCTGTAGCGCCATGGAGAGCCGCCTGCGGCGCGGCCCCACGGCAGAGATCGATGTTGTGAAGTGTGCCCAGGCGCGGACGGGCAAATTCCACCAGCCCATCCAGAAACCATCCAGCCCACCAGCTCATCCAGAAACGATCCCGATCCAGAAAAGGATGCACTAGTCCATGGGATCCCACCCACCCATATTCCCGAGATCGAGCGGGTTGGAAGAGCTAAGGTCGGGTTCCCCCGCCCCCCCCCCCGCGCGAGGCCCTGGCAGTGCAGGACGACGACCCAGACGTGCCGAAGCTGCCAGGCGCCGCGGTGCATCGATCGATCGCCCCTGCCTGGATCGATCTAACTTCATCGCCCCCACCCCCCCCCTCCCTCCCCGCCACCCCATTCGAAGGTCGTTATTCCCATCGGTCCTCCGCGATCCCTCGGCCCTTGGATCTTCGACCCAGTCGATCCTCGATCGAGGATCGAGGATCGAAGGGGTCGAAGATCGATCGACCCGCCCGCTCGAGGATCGATCGATCCACCCGCTCGAGGATCGAGGGGAGGAGCGATATGACAGAAAGATCGATCCAGGCAGGGGCGATCGATCGGGGGCCGCTCGAGCCCAGGTTTCAAAGGGATCCCGAACTGGAGCGCCTACTCGCCGCCGAAGAGCGGCAGCCGCCCGATCCCAGAGCAGTATATGGTCAGGGGGAGGGGGCGATGCTGATGATGATGATGATGATGATGATGATGCTGATGACGATGACGATGACGATGACAATAATGCTGATGATGATGATCATCGGACTGACCAGCGTCAGAGGAGGACGGGGAGAAGGAGGACGCGAGGGAGGAGGAGGAAGAGGAGGAGGAGGAGGGGGAGGAGGAGGGTGGCCATGATGATGTTGATGGTGGTGATTATGATGGCGATGGAGGTGGTGATGTTGATGGCAGGTGCGACGATTCTGATGATGGTGATGGTGATGATGATGCTGATGATACTGATGATGATGGTGTTGATGATGGCTACGCTGATGACGGTAATGATGATGATGGTGCTGACTATGCTGATGATGATGATGCTATGGTGTTACTGATGATGATCATGAAGATGACGTTGATGTTGGTGGTGGTGATGATGCTGATGATGGTGGCGGTGGTGGTGATGGTGATGATTGTGCCGTCATCGTCGTCGACCGTCGTCGGCCCCCCCGATTTCGGCGGGAGATGTTCGACGCCACGTTCAAGGCTAAGCAGGACTTCACGGGCGGCATGCGCATCAGCCAGAAGAGGATGGAGGCGCGACGGGAGGATAGGGGAATTACACACGGAGAGAGAGAGAGATAGAGAGAGAGAGAGGGAACAAGCGAGAGAGAGAGAGAGAGAGAGCGATCGATCGAGAGAGAGAGAGAGAGAGAGAGAACAACTTAGGCGCGAAAAAACTATCTGAGGAGACGAATAATAGGAGGAGGGGTTGGAGGAGCAGCTGGGGAGGAAGAGGGGGGATGGCGGTAATGGAAAACTTGAGGAGGGTCAGAGGGAATGTACGGAACTGTGTTTCAGAGAGCGGGTTCGGGAGGTAAGGGAGATCAACTGATCGAGAAAGAGGGAAGGGGGGGGAGAGAGAGAGAGAGAGAGAGAGAGAGAGAGAGAGAGAGAGAGAGAGAGAGAGAGAGAGAGAGAGAGAGAGAGAGAGAGAGAGAGAGAGAGAGAGAGAGAGAGAGAGAGAGAGAGAGAGAGAGAGAGAGAGAGAGGAGAGAGAGAGAGAGAGAGAGAGAGAGAGAGAGAGAGAGAGAGAGTGAGAGAGAGAGAGAGAGAGAGAAGGAGAGAGAGAGAGAGAGAGAGAGAGAGAGAGAAGAGAGAGAGAGAGAGAGAGAGAGAGAGAGGAGTGAGAGAGAGAGAGAGGAGAGAGAGAGAGAGAGAGAGAGAGAGAGAGAGAGGAGAGAGAGAGAGGGAGCGAGAGAGAGCGAGAGCGAGCGAGAACCAAACAAACAGAGATCACTCGAATCCAAACTCGCCCCCTCTTCTCGACCCCCCCCCCCCTCCGACCTCCCTCGATTCTCGATCGGCACCTCGACTCCCCTAGGCCCCGTCTGGGTCCTCGGCCCCCTCGGCCAGCCCCTCGATCCTAGTCGTCGATTCTCGAGCCAACGATCCTCGATCGATCGATCGAGGATCGACCTAGTCCTCGATCCTCGATCGATCAATCGACGCAGCGAGCGCAGAGGCGGTCTGGGACGAGATGTACCACGCCAAGTTCGTGGACCAGTACCGCGAGCAGAAGGGCAGGAAGCCGACCAGCAACGTGCTGGCAGGGCACAGGCTCACCAATATGAGAACTATAGTTCGGGCACGTGTTGTATGTTAACTTAGTGTATATACATTATATATCTAATGGTCATGACACAACGCGTGCCCGACTATACACATATATGGCTATATGTGTAGATCTGTGCTCACGGGGGGCTGGGGGCACGGTTGTTTGCATAAGTATATATATATGTATATATATATACATGTTCAAGTGAATGCATGTATGCGGTAAAGTCTATGCAACTGGATATCTCGATGTACATGTATATGTGTACAGACGTAGGTGTAGTTGTATATATAACTCGATGTCAATGTAGTCGGATTTCGTTGTACGTGTGCATTCGTATGTGCAAGTGCATGTATACATGCATGCATACATATACATGTATACATGTACACATATATATCTATACATCCGTACATACATACATACACACATGGAATAAGAATGCACAACCGTAGTCGGGGTAAGGGGAGGGGCTCGAGGAGGAAGGGGGCATCCAGAAGGGGAGAAGACCTGCGCACATGTTAAGATTGTGGTCTGCTCTCGATTCCCTCCTCCTCCTTGACCCCCTTCCTATCCCCCCCCCGCCCATCCCTGCGTCAAGTGCCCCTCCCCCCAATCAAGCCCGCGGGGTGCCCAGCCAGGTTTTTGCAGTGCAGGGCGCTGCGCATCGGCTTCGTTCACTGGCAGGGGGCCCTCCTGGCGACGATGGAGCAGATGGACACGCAGGCCGGGTGGGAGCGCACGTGCGTACGCTAAGCATTCAAGTATCAGCATGCTTACTTAGTTGTATGATGTATATAAATATGTGTATATATGTATGTACGCATGTGAACGTTATAGCTAGGTGAGAAAGTATGTATGTATGTATGTATGTATGTATGTATGTATGTAGGCATGTAGATATGTATGTATATACACGTATATGCTCTTAAGAAAAACTACACCTGCGGAATCCAACGTATAGTTTATGAATATGTGTGCCCATGCACTGCACGTTGGATTCCGCATCTTCTGGGAGGCCATGGGGCCCTGAGGCTGATCCTGCAGGGACCGACCTTGGGGACTGGTTGTCAACGGGACTGCGATTGCGCACGTGATCAGCTGCAGGTCGAAGTCTCCGACGGTGACGAAGTCGAGAGTGTAGACGACAGTGTGCTCGGCGAGCACCTCCGCCAGTCCCTGGAGTTGCCTGAAGACGATGCAGTCGACCAGAAGATGATCGAGGATTGCAAGGGGTCACGTGGGCGGGGGCCGAGTGATCCTCAGAGATCGGAGGGAAGAAGCGGGAGGAGGGCGGGGATCATTAGGATCACGCTCCTCCCTCGCGACTCCCCTGCCCCCCGCAATGCGAGGCCTCGATCGAGTGGCCATCCCTTCGGATGATGGGTAGCCCCATCGCTCGAAAGGTTGATCACTCGAGTCCCGTCTAGGATGGCACCCAGATCGTCGCGGCCCTCGAGGATGGCACCCAGATCGTCGACGCGGGGGAGGATGGCACCAAGATCGTCGACGCGGCCCTCGAGGATGGCACCCAGATCGTCGACGCGGCCCTCGAGGATGACACCCAGATCGACGCCGACGCGGCCCTCGAGGATGACACCCAGATCGACGCGGCCATCGAGGATGACACCCAGCAGATCGACGCGGCGCTCGAGGATGACACGCAGCAGATCGACGCGGCGCTCGAGGATGACACCCAGCAGATCGACGCGGACATCGAGGATGACACCCAGATCTCGAATACGAACGCCCAGGCCGACAGCGCATGGATGACCCCGTGCACAGCGTCGAGTCCGAATGGCCGCATCCCGTTCTTGAGGACGATCAAGGGCATCACGATGCGCAAGCGGCCCAAAAAGGAGAAGAAGAAAAAGAAGTCCACGAAGAAGAAGAAGCTGGTGAAGGTCGAGGATGCCGAGACGCAGGATCATGATGAACTGGTGGCGATCCCTGTGGGCCTGGGGAAGAAGGATAAGAAGGAGGTGCCCGTCGCCAAGAAGAAGGAGGTGCCCGACGCCAAGAAGAAGGAGGTGCCCGTCGCTAAGAAGGAGGTGCCCGACGCCAAGAAGGAGGTGCCCGACGCCAAGAAGGAGGTGCCCGTCGCCAAGGAGGTGCCAGTCGCCAAGAAGGAGGTGCCCGTCGCCAAGAAGGAGGTGCCAGTCGCCAAGAAGGAGGTGCCCGTCGCCAAGAAGGAGGTGCCCGTCGCCAAGAAGGTGCCCGTCGCCAAGAAGGTGCCCGTCGCCAAGAAGGCGCAGGTCACCAAGAGGCCAGCCGCCAAGCGGCCGGCGGCCGCCTCGCCCGCCAAGAAGGCCAAGGAGGAGGACGGCGCAGACTGCGCAGAGGAGGGTGCTGGCCCAGAGGGCGCAGAGGACGCAGAGGAGGGCGAGGAGGAGGCCGCTGAGGCCGAGGAGGAGGAGGAGGAGGAGGAGGAGGAGGAAGAGGAGGAGGCCGAGGAAGGCGCAGCCGTTGAAGTTGCAGCTGAGGAGGAGGTGGTCACGCAGATCGAGGACGAGGATCCCATGCACGCGTGCTTCCAGACGGACGGCGGCGAGATGGCCAGGATCAAGTACCTGCGCCGCGACAGCGAGGGCTACAGCACGCTGGCGTACCAGCGTTCGTCCGACGCTCCGAAGTGGCTGCAGCTCGTGCAGGTTGGCGACAGGACCTTCTCGGAGGTTCTGGTGACGAAGACCGACCGCCGCGAGCTCAGCGACAAGCTCATCAGGAGCATCTTCAATCAGATCGTCAAGGAGAGGACGATCGACAAAGACAAGATCAAGGCGATCAAGTGCCAGATCTTCGCCGACATGAAGTCGTAGTTCGACTTGGCAACTCGGGCTGAAGGTTGGATGAACATGCCATGGAGGGAGTGAGCTGATGTAGTGACGATGTTGATGATGCTGATGATGCTGATGGTGATGATCATGATGATGATCATGATGATGATCATGATGATGATGCTGCTGGTGACGAATATGGTAAGTGTGTCGATGATGGTGGTGATGATCTCATTGATGCTGATGGTGGTGACGATGGCGATGGCGATGGCGATGATGATGTTAATGATGATGGCAACGATGGTGATGACGATGCTGATAAGTATGCTGCTGACGGCGAATATTACGGTGGTGATGTTGATGGTGGTATTGGTGATGACAATGACGATGATGCGGGTGACGACGACGGAATGGAATAACGACGGTGATGCTGATGGTGATGCTTAACATGATGATGATAATGCAGCGTTTGCTGCTGATGATGATGACGAAGACGTTGATGATGACAATGATGAACACGATGATGATGATGATGATGACGATGATGATGACGATGATGAAGTTGACGACGGCGGTGATCATTTGATGACGGCGGCGATGGTGATGGTGATGGAGATGTTGATGATGATGCTGATGCTGATGATGATGCTCACGATTTGACGATGATGATGGCGATGGTGGAACACCCATCGGGCATCATAAGGATGCGGTATCGTGAACGGGCGGGGAAGCTGAGGGATGATAAGTGTTGCTATCAATAGATGTGTGCGTGTACACGCTTACGGAGTTAGATGTGCATCTACACATAATGCTTGCAATCGCTATGTATGTACAAGCATCTATGTATGCACATTTATATACATGCAAACATAGATGCATGTACATACATAGTGATTGCAAGCACTAGGTATGTACACACACATCGACTCGGGACGGACTCTACACGCTGGATACCCTTGCTGCCCAGGTGAGTGGGCGCGGCCGCGCGCTTCGACGCCCACGAGCCCTTCGACAGGGGAAGGGTTCGCGGCATTCTTTCTTGAGGGAAGTCGAGAGATCAAGATCTCTCGAGGCGCGCTGGCACCCAGCAACAAGAAGCGACATATCGATCGAGATTCGTTGGCCGACGGGCGACCGAGAGATTCGTTGGCCGACGGACGACCGATGCGGAGGTAAGGAGGAGCAACGAGGTCAGCAATAGGAAATGCGATAGGGGGGAGGAGGAGGAGGAGGAGGAGGAGGAGGAGGAGGAGGAGGAGGAGTAGGACGGGTGAAGGAGGACACATGAGGTGACCTGCAAGTACTCTCGTGAGTTAGCTGCAGATGTGCACATGCGCGTGAGTTGTTGAGGGGTTGCTGGTGGGTCGACCGATGTGCGGAGCTATAGGATGAATGTGGATATTGCTCGCAACTCATGTCCGTGAGCTCCGCATGCTGGCACCATCTCATCAGCTGGCTGCTCGCCATGGCCTTTCCAGATCGACCGCGCGGGGCCCCTCCAACGCTGCAATCTGGTCCTCGAGGCTGCAGGCGAAAGGGGTTGCATGAGGGAGGAAGCATCGACTAGCAGTTGCGATACCAAGAGGGAGGAGTGTGCGTCTCCCTGGGAAGTTGCGGTGCCATCTCTCGCACTACGGGGGAGCCACGGACCCACGTGCAATTAGACGTGGTTTGCACTGCCTGTGCGCACGCGTGCTCATATGTATATACAGAGCGAGAGAGAGAGAGAGAGAGAGAGATTCATGCATGGGCTGGTGCGCATTTAAACGTGTGGTGGCAATAATGTGCGGTGTGCCCACATGCATAATAAGATCATGATGTTTCCAAGTGCATATCTGGATAAACGCATACCATCTTGTGCTACACGGGAAGGGCTGCTCGCAATCCTGGGTTGCACGCCCCCCGCCCGCCCCCCCACCCCCAATGTATATGCATAGGACCACCCAGCAACCCCACCCACCCCCGCTGGATCCGCACATGAATTTCGCGAGCCTCGCGAATGGGATCGCCCACCCACCCCCAGCAGCAAGGCGCGGCGCCCCCGCCAAGCGCATGCATTCCCACGCCCTGCCTGTGGGTATCGAGTCGCATCGTCGACGCCGTCGCCGTCGACGACCACGTCGGCGTTCGTCGTCGGTGCCTCGTCGTTGTCGCCCACCCCATCCAATTGACCAGGGGGTGGGTGGGGGGCGCGGCGGGGCCCATGTAGAATTTACACATTGCGTATGTACACACATATGTGCATGCATAGGA